CCCGCTGCCCCCCCCGTGCCCCCCGCTCCCTCCGAGCCGGCTCAGCCAGGGGGGCTCGGGCTCTCGGGGGTTGGGGTCCCCCTCCAGGGCCCCCCTGGGGACACCCCCAGGCTTCCTGCGGGCACGCCGGGGGGCTCTGTGCCCCGGGACCTGCCACCCCCCCGTGTCCCCAGGCCCCCGTCACACCCCCGGGGACCGCGCCTGGGGCACGGGGGGTGTTGGGGTGCAGCCCCCCCAGGAGGGGCTGGGGGCGGGGACCCCCTGCTCGCAGGACGCGGTGGCCTCGTCCCCCCGTCACACGGCGCGTGGGGACACGGGTGGCAGCGGGAATCCCCGCGTGGGGGCGGCGGCCGTGACGCAGGAGCTGCCGTGTGTCCCAGTGCTGTCATCGCGTGTCGCCGTGTGTCCCGGCACTGTCACCACGTGTGCCAGCGCCGCCGCCGTGTGTCCCAGTGCCATCGCTCTGTGTCCCCGGGGCTGTGTGCCTCTGTCGCTGCGTGTCACCGCGTGTCCCGGTGCCATCACTGCGTGTCCCTGGCACCGTGTGCCCGTGCCACCGCGTGCCACCGCGTGTCCCGGTGCCATCACTGCGTGTCCCTGGCACCGTGTGCCCGTGCCACCGCGTGTCCCGGTGCCATCACTGCGTGTCCCTGGCACCGTGTGCCCGTGCCACCGCGTGCCACCGCGTGTCCCGGTGCCATCAGCCCGTGCCCCGGCACGGCATGTCCCATCGCCCCGTGGCTGTTCCCGGTGGCCTCTGGGGACAGAGGTGACGGGGCCTGCGTCCCGGGGGGCGGTGGCACTGGGGGACACGTTCTGGCTGGGATGGGAACGCATCCCGGGTTGTGGGCACCGCACGGGCGGGGGGACATCCCCGGCGTGTCCCCTGCGTGTCCCTGGCACAGGTGTGTCCCCTCGATGCCATGGACAGCTCTGCCCCCACACCTGGGCCAGCTGGGGGTGCCGGGGTGCCCTCGGGGTTGTGACATGTCGCACCCCGTGCGGTGTCGCCCGAGGGCACGCACAGCCACAGCGGTGTCCCCGCGGTGTCCCCGAGTGCCGGGGGCCCGGGGGGCTCTGGGGGGGCCGGGGGGGCAGCCCTGGCCGTGCCGTGGCAGCGGCAGCGGAGCAGCCTGGGAAAAATTTCCGCCCCAATAATTCCCGTCGGCTCCGGCGGAGCGCGGCTGGCGCGCCGCGCCGGGGGTCCCGGGGCACGCAATGGGCACGGGGCCGGGGTGGGGGGGTCCCCGGCACCCCCGGGCCGGCGGGGGCTGACCCCTG